TCCCCTATTTCCCTCTGTGAGTTCCTCTGTGTCCCGTCCCTTTAAGAATGACGGTGGCCTCTCCGTGCACTCAGAAGCTAATGACACATCCAGGGCTAAATCCAGCCTCACCCGCCAGTTCATTCAGACCTCTAATGCGCGCGTATTACGCAGGCTGTGGCTTTGGGCATATGCGTAGTAATGTGCTAATCAAAATATTGGTTAACCATTGGAGGCACCTGCAAAACAAATAAAGAAAGGTATGATGACGGTCCATCTCAGCCCAGCTGGGAAAAACAAACACTCTGCCTCATTGTAAATATGAGCTCTTCATATTGATTTTATGCTCAGTTTTTCCCTCTTCTGAGTATTTCATTTGGAGCTTAGTCCACGTTCTATAAAAGAGCAGCATACATCACACGAAACCACAGCTGAGGGAACATATATTCAGGATGTAGAAAATAATATGACATTAGCTCATAAAGGTTCTTGACTTGGAAAGTTTTTCTTCTTTAAACTCTCTAAACATGTAGTCAGAATGCAGCCCTGTCCAGAGAGGATATTCAGTCTATTTCAGAGCCACCTGCACATTATAATGCTCTATAGCTATTCATTTGTTTTGTGAAATGTTCATTATTCAACAATGCTGGTAAATGAATAAATATGAATGCATTCTTCTCAGTTCTTTTTTAAAAGCAGTTGATTCCTAACTAAGTATTATTCAGCATTAAAAAAAGACAGATCATTGCAGCTTAGGTTGTTAAAGCTTAATTAAGATGGTCTTAGCTACCCTGCAGTAAAACAACAGTTTGGACCATCTGAAGTTGGTCTTAGCTGCTCTCCAAGCTGGTCTAGTTTGATAGTTTATGATAGGATTGAGTACTTGTTGGGTATTTTGAGAACATCAGGTGGTAGACCAGATAAAGGGTCAGTGACAAAGAAGAATGTCCGTAACTAAAAATATAAAAACAAAAAATTGTTTAAAACACATGTGCCAAGTTCCTAAAAATGTACTCTTTGTATTCATGATGGTTTGTGGTTTTGGGGAGGGGGGAAAAAAAAAAGCTTTAATAAAATTTTTAAGAACCGTTTTATTTATTTTTTTAAATCATACGTTATTAACCATCAAGTAAAACATATTTTCTTAAAAAAAACAAAAACAAAACAAAACAATGATATTAGTGAATGAATGTCTTTTATCTCAAAATGTTTTTTACACTTATTAAACACGTATCCTGAATTAATCAGTCATTCACAAATGTCATTGTTTTTGTTTTTTTACAATATCACTATACTACATTTTACAACCTGAAGTGACATTGCTTTGGGATTTAAAAAAAAAGGTAAAATTATCTGATATTTTTAAAAACTTACTGACAGTCATGAACTTTTCTTTTTCTTTTTCTTTTTTTCACCTCATAGCTTTATTGATCACACCATATGACTTTGGTTTGGTGGATAGGTTTTTCCCCCAAAATATTAATAAACATTGAAGCAGATTTTACCTTAGCTTGATAAAAATAAACTTCTGTTTGTAACACTGGGGGTGCCACACAACCAGGAATAAATAAGTAAAGTTTTTCTTTTCAAGAATTTCATTCTTTTTTTCAGCCTTATGAAATATAGATTATATCACTGACATTTTTGACTTTATGGGGGTAGAAACCATCAGAAGCTGGTTTTAACTGGATTTTCCAATGGGGTAACACACGCCTTTTGCTGGTGGCATCATATGAAATAATGTCACTACCCTCATTCAAGTCTTGGCACAGCATTAGTAGCTGCTCTGTTTGGAGTCACAGCCATGGAGCTGAACAGTTGAGGGTGGAGACCATGCCAGAACCTTCCGAGCTGTTGACAAGGAAGCCTTTCATCTCACTCACTTGTATCTTATGACGGCATCAATCACAAGCTGGCTGCTCTGAGAGGCAGGTTGGGTCAGCGCCACGGGTAGTTTGGTGTTGGATTTCTGTTGACGGATGCCAGTAGTTTAGCCTCAGAGCTGCACACTGGATATATATCATGGCATATGCAGTGCTTGCTGTTAGCCCAAACCTGTCTGCAGTCATGAGGCTTTTGTAAATTAGTTCTGGGTTATTTGAGGCGACTCCATACACAAAAACATTACTACTCCCTCAGCACTCCTAATGCACTGATGGTCCTGAATAAAGAATAGTATGTGTCCAACTTACACAAGTTGAGAAATTTGAAGAAACCCTGTAAGGGGGAGGAAATGACCACTTGTTGAATAATGAATGGATAATGGATAATAATGAATAATGAGTTGAAACCGTTGATGTTATCATTATTATTATTATTATTATTATTGTTATTATCTTTCAACAAACTTGGGTATGTCTGAATACAACCCTTATTTGTGTGATTTTGTTATTTTCAAGCAATAAGCATTGAATAAACATAAAAATAATTTTTAAGTAAATAAAGTATAAATATTCCTGAATGGGAATCACTGAGTCTAGCCTATTTACAGACCAAATGATCATTTCTGGTTATTGGTAAACTAATGTTTCCAATTAAATTAATTCATTAATTTTTTTTTACAATCAATTTGGTAACAGGACTGAATGGTTGACGCTCTTACCAGTACATTTTTTGACACATCAAGAAAATAGATTATGATTATTTAGCTGTATGAAGTTAAAGGGATACTCCACCCCAAAACGAAAATGTTGTCATTAATCACTTACCCCCATGTCGTTCCAAACCCGTAAAAGCTTTGTTCGTCTTCAGAACACGATTTAAGATATTTTGAATGAAAACCGGGAGGCTTTTCATATTCTCGTCACTTCATAACGTTACGGTTGAACCACTGATGGACTATTCTGACGATGTCTTTCATACTTTTCTGGACCTTGACAGTGTAATTTACTTGGCAGTCAATGGGACAGTCACAAGCCTCCCGCTTTTCATCCAAAATATCTTAAATTGTGTTCCGGAGATGAACGAAGCTTTTACGGGTTTGGAACGACATGGGGGTAAGTGATTAATGACAAAATGTTCAATTTGGGGTGGAGTAACCCTTTAACAAATATCAAAACACTACACTATTTTTTGGTCATTTGGTCTTAAACTAACCCAAACTGAATGGTAGCAGAATTTATCCTAAAACTTAATCCCTGTTACTTGCAACAACCCTTGTTACCCACTTTTGTTTTACAAATTTATGTATAGTTATTTTCACATATTTAATGTTTATTGCTAGAAAGCACATAGGGTTTTAAATTCTTTTAGACATCTCTTTTGTTAACAGACATGAAAAATAGTGAATGAATGAATTAATACTTTACCATAAAAATACTATTAGTCTGTATATAATTTTTTTTTCTAATTTATTTTTAATAATTAATCTGCTGCAATTCAAATGAGTCTATGTGAATCTTTCAGACTAAGTAAAATTAGACATTGACAAATGCAAATGATTTTGTCTATAACACATTGTGCCTCATTCACATTAAAGTTTTGAAGGCACTTGACTAGAGACACATGTAGAGATCATAAGACAATTGCAGCTGAGAGGCACTGATGTGTGGAACTTCAGCATTCACACCCTTAAAAGAGCTTATAAGTAATAACGTCATGTCCATGAAAAAAAACAATAAACATGGAGACTGAAGCGTGTCTTAGGTGGAAAAGCTCCACAGTGGGCCTACGTGTTTCATCGCGTGTTCTTTAGCCCAAAAGTACAAAGGCCTTCTTTATGAGACCTGCTGATTTTCCTTTGGGATGAGGTATGTGTGATGGTTTAAGGCAGGGTGGAGTTTCTCTGAGTACAAGACTTTTGAGTTACTCGCTCTTATGCAAGTCCTGTGGTCTGGCGTGTGTAATGGACACTGTCAGGCTGCCCTCTCAGGACTTAGACGTCCTTCAGAGCACTGTTTCATTTGCTGAGTTATGCTTGATAGTTTATAGATTATAAATAAAAAAACAGACAAAAAAGGCCAAAAATAAAATAATAAAGAACCTTTGAAAACACATACTTTTTGTGTCCTAGAAAACCCACAGTTTATTTATTTATTTAATGTTTATTACTATAAAGCAAACAGAGTTTTAAATTGTATTCAGATATATTTTGTATTCGGGCAACTAAATAAATGTAGATCTGTATGACAGGGATGAAAAATAGTAAATCATTTTAGACATGTCTTTTGTATTCAGACAACTTTTGGTAACAGGGATGAAAAATATTAAATAAGCAAATCATTTAAGCAGACATTTCTTGTGTATTTAGACAGATTTTGGTAACAGGGATGAAAACAGCAAATACATTCTAACATGCCTTTTGTAAACAGACAACTTTTGGTAACAGGGATGAAAAATAGTAAACAAGTAAATCCAGACATTTCTTTTGTGTTTAGACAGATATTGGTAACAGGGGATGAAAATAGCAAATGCATTCTGACATTCAGACAACTTTTGGTAACAGGGATGAAAAATAGTTAACAAATAAATAAACTCAGGGATGTCTTTTGCATTCAGACAATTTTTGGTAACAGGGATGAAAAATAGAAAATAAGTAAATTCAGACATTTCTTTTGCATTCACACAATTTTTGGTAACAGGGTTGAAATAAATTAATCTAATAGTTACCTTGACATTCTAAGGTAAACTAACAATATTTTCCTCCTAACACTACCCTCTTAGGGAAGAGTCCCTTTTACCCAAAGCAACATACAGTACAATTACCTGGACAATCCTCCTGAAGCATCCTGGGATTAAGTGCTTTGGTGACCTCAAGCGCACAATGGTGACCCATTGATTGTTTGCCCCTGATGGCGATCAAACTAGAGAACTTCCGATTATCAAGCCTGACCTAAACCACACCTCCACAATGTTGAGGCTGCCCTTTTCTGCTAGAATGCGCCATTCGCGATATAGATTCCATTTTCTGCATGTAAGAAAGAACATGTATACTGCAGTTATTGAATTAGTGTTGGGCTAAGTATGCATTTGACTTTCTGCAGGGAGCGTATTGACATCGCCTTTTTCTCTTCTCCGCACAGCAAGGGCCGCTTTGAAGTGCTTGGCAGAGGCAGTCTGCGGATCTTCAATCTCACTGAGGAAGATGCCGGTTTGTACAGCTGCATGGCAGACAGTGTCAACGGATCCATAGGGGCCCAGACTGTGCTCGCGCTGAAAGGTAAGATTAAACCTCACTGCTAAAGGACTAGTCAAGTGAATGTCATGTCACACTGTAAAGTTCTTTCCTCTAGTGCTGTTCAGAGGAAGTGTTGCATTTTCTCGGTGACATTAAGTTCTGTAGTTCCACTGCACACTCTGATCACGCTTCAGACACGTTTACAGAAACAGGTATTTGATTCTCTGTAATTGCTCAAGCTGCAGTTTTTGGGCGGGACTGACAATAGTGCATGAGATGTGATTGTGTGATGATGAAAGGGACGTGAGATGGTTCAGACAGGTGTGAAATCACAGAGAATATAATAGAATCTGGGCTGAAGATTTCATGCAGATATGTGGAGTGTAATGAGCTTTGACCATCTGTCCATCTGCTGAGAACTGATCCTACACTGTAACAAGATGAAAAGATGAAAGATACTGGGGAAAAACACTTTCAGGCCCTTTACTTTGCCTTTGTGTACTTCAATTCTTAAAAGTATACTTAAAAAAAAACTGTACTTGCAGATAGTATATAAATCAAATAGAAAGTCACTAAAGAGAGTACACTTTCATGGCTTTGTTTCTTAAAACACTTAAGTACACTTTTAAAAATGCACTTTTAATGTCAAATTAAAACTTTCACTTTAAAGTCATTATGGTTTAATAATCGTTTGTTGTGCTTTAAAAAAGCATATTGATGTGTTGTTGACTAACTAAAGCATGTCTAAAATACTTGATTATAATTTTAGTGTTATTCAATATTGCATATTGATGTGTTGACTAACTAAAACATGTCTAAAATAACTGATTATAATTTTAGTGTTATTCAATATTGCATATTGATGTGTTGTTGACTAACTAAAACATGTCTAAAATACTTGATTATACTGTTAGTGTTATTTAATATTATTCAATATTGATAGTGAATAGAGTTATTCAAAGTTAATAAATTTTAAATGTACTTTATCATTTAATATGTGACGCTAATGTTAAAAAGTAGTTTTCAAATCTCACAGCATGTTAAACTTGTTTAAATATGGTGCAAGGAATTGTGCAAAAGTGAGGCTTTCTTAATCAAAACTCTGGCCCTGTAAATCATACTTTGTGTGTAAAGGAATAAAAGGTCTCAGAGTTTTACTGCCTATAGTGTTCATTTCAACTGTAAACGTTTGTTTGTATAGGTACGTTTTTTTTAGCTTTGCTGAAATGTAGGTAGAGGGCCAGCGATATAAGTGCTTCCCTGTTTATGTGCTACTGGGTTTATGAGTGTGAGATATACTTAGTGATTGAAACATGAACCATCTGTCCCGCGTGGAGCTGGCTTGAGCAGGAACCCAGCAGTGTGTGACAAGTGTTTTTCAGCAGGTTGTGTGTGCAGGCCTCAGCAAACTGCAGGAGACTGATTATAATTTTAGTGTTATTCAATATTGCATATTGATGTGTTGACTAACTAAAACATGTCTAAAATACTTGATTATAATTTTTTAGTGTTATTTAATATGATTCAATATTGATAGTGAATAGAGTTATTCAAAGTTAATACATTTTAAATGTACTTTATCATTAATATGTGACGCTAATGTTAAAAAGTAGTTTTCAAATCTCAGTTTTCAAATCTCACAGCATGTTAAACTTGTTTAAATATGGTGCAAGGAATTGTGCAAAAGTTAGGCTTTCTTAATCAAAACTCTGGCCCTGTAAATCATACTTTGTGTGTAAAGGAATAAAAGGTCTCAGAGTTTTACTGCCTATAGTGTTCATTTCAACTGTAAACGTTTGTTTGTATAGGTACGTTTTTTTTAGCTTTGCTGAAATGTAGGTAGAGGGCCAGCGATATAAGTGCTTCCCTGTGTATGTGCTACTGGGTTTATGAGTGTGAGATATACTGAGTGATTGAAACCTGAACCATCTGTCCCGCGTGGAGCTGGCTTGAGCAGGAACCCAGCAGTGTGTGACAAGTGTTTTTCAGCAGGTTGTGTGTGCAGGCCTCAGCAAACTGCAGGAGCACATACTAACAGCCATTCATCACCTTACCTCTGTCAGTTTGGCCCTGATGCTGCAACTTATGTTAGATATACAGTTCCAGATCCTGTAGAACCCAGCTCATCTGGAAAACATCCAATGGGCTTCATTTTAGCTCAACTTATATCTAGCCATAACTTTATGTAGCCATTCTCTCTTTTGGCTGGTTTTCTATTAAGAATTTTATTGACAGTCTTATAAATCTTATTTTATGTTAATGACAATCTGTAGTCTCTATTTGCTATTTTTACCCTTTGCTCATTTTGCTGACATTTATACATTTAGATTTTTCTGTTCACTTCCACACATAGAACTTTATATATAATATAATATACATAATATATACCGTATATATGTGTACACGTATAATATATTATAGTATAATATTTAAGAATTACATGTATCATTTATGTAATGTCACATTCTAAATCTTTTCTTTTGCTTATTGTACAGTTTATTTGTAATAATGCCAATTTTTCTTTCAATTAACCTTATAAACAATGTATTTTATAATATTAATTTATGTATATTTTATATACATTTATCATTTATCTAATGTATAATGTGCTGGGCTTGCTGTAAAGTTTATTTGTTAATTATGTATATAAATGAATTATGGTTATACATACATCTATATTTATATCATTCATTAAATTATTCCATTCAATTATTCTAAACATTTTTGTGTTGGTTTTAGGAACATAAAGTATTTATGAAATCGTTAATATCACTTATAATGTGCCGTTACATTTTAAATATTTTCTTGTGCAGCTTATTTATTTATTTATTTTGTGCAATTTATTTGTAATTATGCTTATTTCTCTTTTTTCAAAATAATTAAATGTACTGTATATGGTCTGAGCAACAAATATCTATTTCATACTTTTATTTAAATATTTAAATATCAGAGCCTTCAGTCAGTACTACTGATTTATGCAAGGGTGAGAGCAAGTGTATTAATCGTATGCAAGTGATAGTAATGCTTTGTAAATGTGCAATTCGTATAAAATACACAGCAACTGAGGGTTGTGGTTGTGTGGTAGAGAATCAGGCTCAGCACAGAGCAACAATCCAATTACATCCCAACAGACAGGCCTGAATCATTCTGGTGCACACTACCTTGTTATTGAGATTATCTATGTCCTGTTTATCTTCTCCAAGATCAAACTCTGGCCCTGTAAATCATACTTTGTGTGTAAAGGAATAAAAGGTCTCAGAGTTTTACTGCCTATAGTGTTCATTTCAACTGTAAACGTTTGTTTGTATAGGTACGTTTTTTTTAGCTTTGCTGAAATGTAGGTAGAGGGCCAGCGATATAAGTGCTTCCCTGTGTATGTGCTACTGGGTTTATGAGTGTGAGATATACTGAGTGATTGAAACCTGAACCATCTGTCCCGCGTGGAGCTGGCTTGAGCAGGAACCCAGCAGTGTGTGACAAGTGTTTTTCAGCAGGTTGTGTGTGCAGGCCTCAGCAAACTGCAGGAGCACATACTAACAGCCATTCATCACCTTACCTCTGTCAGTTTGGCCCTGATGCTGCAACTTATGTTAAGATATACAGTTCCAGATACTGTAGAACCCAGCTCATCTGGAAAACATCAAATAATCTTCATTTATGCTTTTGGTTAGTTTTCTACTGAGTATTGTATTGACAGTCTTATAAATGTTTATGTTAATAACAATCTATAGTCTTTGATATAGCTCTTTGCTCATTCGCTTCCATACATTATTTTATGACATAAATTTATTCTAAACATTTTTGGTTGGTTTTCAAACTAATATGAAATGTATATATAATCTTATATATATATACACGTTTATGTTGTGGTCAAAATTGTACATACACTTCGCAGTATTTGCAAAAATGTTCACGGTGTGTGTGTGTTCACTGCTGTGTGTCTGCACTTAGGATGGGTTAAATGCAGAGCACTAATTCCTAGTATGGGTCACCATACTTGGCCACATGTCACGTCACTTTTTTAACTTATGTTAAGATATACAGTTCCAGATACTTTAGAACCCAGCTCATCTGGAAAACATCAAATAATCTTCATTTATCTCAGCTTACATCCAGTCATAGCTTTATGCAGCCATTCTGCTTTTGGTTAGTTTTCTACTGAGAATTGTATTGACAGTCTTATAAATGTTTATGTTAATAACAATCTATAGTCTTTGATATAGCTCTTTGCTCATTCACTTCCATACATTATTTTATGACATAAATTTATTCTAAACATTTTTGGTTGGTTTTCAAACTAATATGAAATGTATATATAATCTTATATATATATACACGTTTATGTTGTGGTCAAAATTGTACATACACTTCGCAGTATTTGCAAAATGTTAATTATTATTACCAAAATAAGAGGGATCATATAATATGCATGTTATTTTTTATTTAGTACTGACCTTAAAAGGGTCATATGATGCGATTTCAAGTTTTCCTTTCTCTTTGGAGTGTTACAAGCTCTTGGTGCATAAAGAAGATCTGTAAAGCTGCAAAGACTAAAGTCTCAAATCCAAAGAGATATTCTTTATACAAGTTAAGAGTCAGCCACGCCTACCTAAAACAGCTCGTTCTAACACGCCCCCACAAATCTACGTCACTATGTGGAAATATTAGCATAATGCCGCCCAAATGTGCACGCAAAGAAAGAAGGCGTGGTTTCTGGAACAGCAGTAGTGTTGATTCAGCCATGTCAGGGAGACGCTGTGTTTCAGTGCGAAAGCAAAAGCACTTTATTTGGCCTTCCAGAAGTAGATGCAATTAGGAATCATTGGTTAAGATTTATTTACAACATAACAGCACAACCCATATTTCACATAAAATATGTTTACATATAGTCCACGAGAGAAAATAATAGTTGAATTTATAAAAATGACCCCATTCAAAAGTTTACATATGCTTGATTCTTAACACTGTGTTACCTGTGTTCAGGGGCGCGGGAAGATGTTTTCGATTGGGGGTGCTGTGTGTGTCCGTGTTGGGTGAAAGGGGGCGGGGGGTCACCTCATTTGACAACTCCACAAAGCACTACAAGTGCGTCGATATGAACACTCGTTTAAGTGGCATACACACTGGGAAATTTGACTGCATATCACATTTTTGAAATTATTGATAGTAGCTGATCAATCGCGGTGGTTGGGCTGGGTCCGCTAGGCTTACTTGTCTCCGTGCTGGAGCTGGTTCACTTACGTTGGTGCTTGTGCTGGGGCTGGTGTTGGTGTTGGATGCCGATTTTGGAAAGTTTTTGCTGGGATGGGCATTTTAAAAAATATGTCCTTGTATTAAAGTTAATCTTGTTCGCATTCTGTATAGTTCATGTCTGATACCACGCGCCAGCGTCATGTGTTCATGAGGATTAGGCTAATCCTCCCATATATATATAAAACATCACAAGTAAAATTAATCATGTTTATAAAGATAAACATGGGTTTATTATAGCCCACTTACAATTTACATTTCAGAGATCATTACAAATAAATTATTAAATGCTAAAACGGAATAAATTTAAATGAACAAACTTGGCATTGCATTTGCAACCATGGGAAAACAGGGGGTGCTGCAGCCCCCTCAGCACCCCTACTTCCCGTGTCCCTGCCTGTGTTGATCCACAGCGGGTTTTTTATTTATTTATTTTTTTTTATTTTTTTTTTGGTGATAGTTGTTCATGAGTCCCTTGTTTGTCCTGAACAGTTACATTGTTACCACTGTTCTTCAGAAAAATCCTTCAGGTCCCACAAATTCTTTGGTTTTCTAGCATTTTTTTACGTATTTGAACCCTTTCCAAAAATGACTATGACTTTTCACACTGAGGACAACAACTATCACAAAAAACAAAACAAAAAAACAGCTGTGGATCATCCAGGTAACAACACAGTATTAAACTTTTGAACGGGGTCATTTTTATAAATTTAACTATTATTTTCTCTTGTGGACTATAGGTAAATGGCGTATTCAATGAAATATCATATGCGAAATATCTTATTCAGGTCAGTATTAAATAAAAAATAACATGCATTTTGTAGGATCCCTCTTATTTTGATAAAATAATTAACATTTTGCAGATACTCCAAAGTGTATGTAAAATTCTGACCACAACTGTGTATAAATAAATATATATATATAAGAGTGACATATATAATTGATGTAATGTAACATTCTAAATCTTTTCTTGTGCTTATTGTACAGTTTATTTGTAATTACACTCATTTGTCTTTTAAGAGGAAAATTAATTACAGATGGTTAGTTTAAATATGGTTATATATACATCTATATTTATATAATTCATGAAATTATTCCATTAAATTATTCTAAACGTTTTTGTGGTTTGTTTTATGAATATCACTTATATAATGTGCTATTACATTTGAAATCTTTTCTTGTGCAGCTTTTTTTTTCTTTTGGTACAAGTTATTTGTAATTATGCTTATTTCTCTTTTAAAAAGTAAAATGTGTTTATATGGTCTGAGTGACAAATATCTATCTCATACTTTTATTTAAATATTTAAATATCAGTACATACTGATTTATGCAAGGGTATTAATCATATGCAAGTGATATGTAATGTTTTGCAAAAATGCAAATCATATAAAATATACAGCAACTGAGGGTTGTGGTTGTTTGGTAGCGAAATCAGCAGAGCACAGAGCAACAATCCAATTACGTCCCAGCAGACAGGCCTGAATCATTCTGGTACACACTACCTTGTTATTGAGATGATCTATGTCCTGTTTATCTTCTGCAAGATCAAATAACCTCATTTGCTAATGGGAAGCCTTTGGAGGTTTTGCATTTTCCTCTAGCATATTTTAACCACATCCTGGTGTTTTAGGATATTTTTAGAGGTTGAGAAAAGTCAAAAGCAGCATTTTTCCCCCCTAATCAAATCAAATAGTTTCCCCGAAATCATTACTAGCTTTTACTTATACAGACATTTGAAGAGTCATTTCTCTCAAGAAACAAATGTTTGCTTTGTCATACTCACAGGATTTGTTTTGTTTTATTGCTTTTCTTCTCAGCTTCCCCACAGTTCCTGAAGAAACCAGCTAACATATATGCTCATGAAGCCACAGACATCACATTCGAGTGTGAGGTCACCGGCTCACCCGCTCCCACCATCAAATGGGTGAAGAACGGAGATGCTGTCATTCCCAGCGACTATTTCAAGATCATTGTAAGTTGCCAGCTTGCCCTTCTTGAGTGAGGAAATGCTGTTGACCTTCTGATAAATACAGTGTTTCTTCTAGATGACAGCGATGTTCTTGTGTGCCTTTTTACAGAAGGAGCAGAACTTGCTGGTGCTGGGGCTGGTCAAGTCAGATGAAGGTTTCTATCAGTGTTTAGCTGAGAATGACGATGACAATGTGCAGTCGAGTGCTCAGCTCATCATATTGGATCAAGGTATGTTTAACAGCATATTTGCTTATATTCAACTTTCCCTTTGTAAACCCTGCTGGAAAATCCAGCTTAAAAAGTTGGTAGCTTTAAATAGTTTCCAGCTGCTTTAGGATTTTAATTTATGATCAGTAGCTGGTCTAGATGGTTAATCAACTGGAATAAAACTGCTGGGGCCAAGGTTGACCTGGTAGACCTTCTTAATTATGCTTGTTAGAGCTGTCAGACCTGGTCCTGGACCATACGTTGGTATCACCTGGTTCATCCTGGGAAACTCTTAGTTTATTACACTCTTAAATTTTCTGATGTTTAAATCCCATCATAAAAGTGTTCATAACATCTCATTTTGCTGTAATGGTGATCCATTTAGTTTTCAAACTACATCACAACTATATTAGTATTTCATTAAGCAATCCTAAACATCTGGAGGATGTTTGCATGTAGATAATCTTTTTTTTTTATACAAATCTAATTAAAGGTATAGTAGTGTTGGTGTAAGTCAGGTGCATGATGCCATCTGCTGCAGCTTCCTCTCTGGCAGTGCCACCTGTTCAGTGTATGTGTGTGCCAGGACTAGAGTTTAATGTTAAATGTGCGGTTGAAATGCTGTTCTGGGTGGTTGCTGGGATATTACTTACTGATCAGGGGTGCGCTTCCTAAACAATTGTGTAACCCGCTGCTTAACTAACCTAGCATGATGCATCATTGTAGAAACTAACTAGCTAGTCACAACTGTTTCCCGAACATGGTCACACCTCCGTCATTTGAACCACATTGGTTCCACAATGTAGGACGATCGTTGATAACGTCATGCGCAGGTGGTGGAGTAATAACTTTTTATTTGATGTTTGATTCATCGTGGGTTCCTTCTTGCATCATACTTTGGAGTTCCCTTACACATTTACAAACATGCACACTCTTCAAAAATGGCACTTATTGAGGACAAGCTAAAATATATAGATTGAAATGTATATATATTTAAATTGAAATGACGAAATACCATATTAGCCCGAATATAAGACGACCCTGATTATAAGACGACCACCCTTTTTCCAGATGTACCTTTTGCAAATCTTGTTTTTTCTCAGTAAAACACATTTTGTCTTCAATTATTTTCATATTGCATATTTTTCCTATTTGAATTTTTATTTTGAAAGTATGGTAAAAACTGGTCAAATGTACCAACAATCACATTTAAAAAATATACACTTTTTGATATACCATAAAAAAAAAACATGAATTAGGACATTTAGGCTATCCATCTAATAGTAGCCTACCAAAATCTTATTAACAGTAGAAGTTAAATCTTACTGTAGTCTTCAAATCTGGGTACTGTCTTACGTTTTAAAATCGCAAAGGGAGTTTGATCCCATCAGGCTAACGTGACAGTCACGACTCATGCAGCTGTAAGCTTTTCTTTCTCTTTTGTTTTTACTCGTGATCTTTACAACACGCATTACATTACGTATTTCATGCCACACTCGTTTTATGCGTATTTGGCGCCACCTATTGTTGTGGGTGTATTATTGACATGTCAAAGTCTAGACCCTGAATATAAGATGACCGCGTTTTTTCAGATGTATTTCCAAGAAAAAAAACATATATATTCGGGTCAATACAGTAGATAGTATGCTTGCTTGCTTATTGTGCCCAAGAGCATGATTTATTAAAGTCCACATGTCTTACTAACAAGAAATTATGCTTCTAACCACAGGTTGAGAGCTGTAGTTCCAACCACATAAGTTTGCGATGTTTGTTTGAGCTATGGTTTCACGAAATGCTGAATTGTTGAACTTTGTTGATAATGATGGAACTTGCGACCATAGTTGGCTAGCCAGGCTTTTGGTAAATGCATCCAGAAGAGCCCACCACCAAAGTCTCTATGATATTCTGGTTGTTCAAAAAATGTATAGCTATGATTTGAGATACTATATTATTCCTGTACATTCATAACTGAGAAGGACAAGCAAACCAAAGCTAACAATAGGGCTTTGTTTAGCAATAGAAATAGTGATGATTGCCTTAGCAAGCAGCTTTAAAGGGGTCATGACATGTTTTTTTATTGTTATTATTTTATTATGTTCCCTGAGATGTAGTTATAATATTACTAAAGTTTTTTGGGTGAAAAACATTCAAAATTGAGTGATTTATGACCTGTTTCCACCCTGTTTCTCATCCATGTTTTCCCTTTAAGAGGTCAGTGTAACCGCCCACTTTTATGATTGGCTAACATTCATTACCGCCATTATCGTTAAAAAAAAAGTTTTTACATGAAATACATTACTTTACAGTTTGCAGCGTCGTTGTTAAGTCCAGAACAGTTGGCACGGCCTGATCTTTGAGCAAAATTATTTTGGCAAAGCCAGCCTCATACTGCGATTTGTTCTCAAAACAGTCAACGGTGAAATTTACTGAACACACGTGTAAATTAGCACTGACTAGACTGGGACTTGCGCTGAAAATAAAACGTTGGGATCCTTCAGCAGCGTATACTAGGGTCGGGTATCGTTTTTTTTTTCTTTTTCGATACCAGTGCCAAATACTTTTACACGATACTTTTAAAACGGTTCCGGTGCCTGAACCGATACTTATAAAAAAATTTATAAAAAAAAAATCCCCAAAAAATGATGGATTGGCCGTTAGCATTATAAACACATGATGTCTGTTTCATTCATACTGGACGCCAGAGGGTGCCCTCGCACAGAAAACCCACATATCCAGTCACAGATGTAGCGGATCTCATGACCCTCCAGGAAATCCCTTATATGGACAAAGGCATGGCTATTACAGCTTTAACTGAGTAAACAGAACATATAAACGTTTCGAATGAAAAAACAAAGACAATAAACATTAAACTGCGACAATATAGTTTATCTGTGTTATTCAAGCCATCGCTGGTATTTTCATAATTATTAAGTATATTTATAATCCATTGCTAATCGATGTATTCTTTTTAAAGTAGCCTATGGAACATATTTTCTGCCTCATTCTGTGACAAGAAGCCACATCAGATCACAAAAGGAAGCATTTGACTGGTGTTGTGGAGTAAAAAGGTTATAATGTTCATGTTAAATAACCGTGCCGAGCCGAACCATGCCGTACTGAGCCGTACAGAGCCGAGTCGTACCACGCAGTGGAAAAGCGCCAATAGGTACCGGTGCCATATTGGTACCGTTTTCTGAGGGTTATTACATAAATGCTTTTTTTATTGATGATGATGACATTTTAAGTTATAAAACTTGCAGGATGTATTAAGCGTACCGAGACCTCTTCTACGTCAAAAGATCAAGGGAAATTTGGTTTCTCATGTCATGACCCCTTTTGACATTTAAATCCAACCATATACAAGCAGTACTGAGTGAACAAATTGAAAGCACAAATTTGTTGTCAGATTTTGACTGTTTCTGTGATATTTGTATCTTCCTGAGATGAAGCCAGCTTCTCTCTGTATTCTCTTTGCTGTACTTTTTGCTCTTCTCATATGAAATGGCCTATAAACATTTTATTTTGGCAGGCTTCTCTGCTTGTTCTAGTTAAAGCCGCTAGACAGGTCTGATTGGAGGCTTTTTGAAGCCTTAGTACTCACTGCCATCTGGACAAGCACATGGTGAATGGAGAAACACAGTTGCCTATCTTCACTTATTGTTAGAGTTGATTGCTGAGTTTATTAGCTTACAGACTGGGAGTTTGTTGCACAGTCTGTGAAACTTGCTCATTATATATTTTTTTTCTGCAAGGGAATATATGCTCCCATAGTCATTAGTGTAATGCAGCATTGTGTTTTCTCCATAGTCGCAATGCTTTAGATTTGACATGCTGTGATTACCTTAAGCACAACTGTAATTTCAGAGTTTTATGCAGATTTGCTCATGATCTTTACATTTTAAAGGGCAGAAAAGTTATTTTGGGCTGTGATCAAAACAAGGAATTCATGAATGACAACTAAAAGAGACCTAGCAACATCCAAGCAACCACCCATAACACCTTAGCAACTGAATATAAATGATTTAAAGACTACTCAGAACACCTTAGCAACTGCATAGCAATACCCTGGCAACCACCCACAACACCCTATCAAATATGAATCAGAATCAGAAAGAGTTTTATTCCAAGGTTTGTTTACTCATACGAGGAATTTGTTTTGGTGACAGAAGCTTCCACAGCACAAAGAGAATGACTGACAAGACAAGACCAATAATAAAAAGAATAAAAAATAGGATAAGTAAATAGGAAATATAACAATAGACAAAAATATTTAAAAAAAATACACAATATACAAAATAGACAATAGATGCTTTATTTTGGCAGGCTTCTCTGCTTGTTCTAGTTAAAGCCGCTAGACAGGTCTGATTGGAGGCTTTTTGAAGCCTTAGTACTCACTGCCATCTGGACAAGCACATGGTGAATGGAGAAACACAGTTGCCTATCTTCACTTATTGTTAGAGCTGATTGCTGAGTTTATTAGCTTACAGACTGGGAGTTTGTTGCACAGTCTGTGAAACTTGCCTGTTATATTTTTTTTCCTGCAAGGGAATATATGCTCCCATAGTCATTAGTGTAATGCAGCATTGTGTTTTCTCCATAGTCGCAATGCTTTAGATTTGACATGCTGTGATTACCTTAAGCACAACTGTAATTTCAGAGTTTTATGCAGATTTGCTCATGATCTTTAAATTTTAAAGGGCAGAAAAGTTATTTTGGGTTGTGATCAAAACAAGGAATTCATGAATGACAACTAAAAGAGACCTAGCAACATCCAAGCAACCACCCATAACACCTTAGCAACTGACTATAAATGATTTAAAGACTACTCAGAAAACCTTAGCAACTGCATAGCAATACCCTGGCAACCACCCACAACACCCTATCAAATATGAATCAGAATCAGAAAGAGTTTTATTCCAAGGTTTGTTGACTCATACGAGGAATTTGTTTTGGTGACAGAAGCTTCCACAGCACAAAGAGAATGACTGACAAGACAAGACCAATAATAAAAAGAATAAAAA